CCCCCCCCAAGCCCGCCCCGCTCGCTCTCGGTCCCGAGCACCGGGGGCCGCCCCCGTTCCTGCGATTGGAGCCTCCGCCGTGATGTCAGGGGGCAACCACGCGTGCCCGTCGGGAGGGTCCGAAGTGTGCGTGCGTGCTGCTGGAGGAACGGGGGACAACGGGGCAGGGGGGAGCAGGCGCTGAGTGCTCAGAATCTCCCCCCCCCCCAAAAAAAAAAAAAAAAAAAAAAGAAAAAACTAACAACCCATCTTTGTCTCTTTGTTCTGTTTACAGCGGCTCAAAGTGAGTTCCTGGAAGAAAGCTCCATCAAAGCCATTAGGCACAGGAACATCTCCTCCCTGCGGGGTAGGCTGCGGAGAAAAGAGCCCCCTCGCGCCCCCCCCCTGTAGATCTATGCAGCTGAAGGGGCTGCTAGGACAGGGGAGGGCACCTCTGTACTGAGGGAAAGGAGGACAAGTGGGTGCCAGCATTGCCCTTCCACCTCAATTTGGGAAAGCTCCCGAGTCTCCAGCCCTGCTCCTTGAGAAGGGAGGTGGGATAACAGTGCTGCTGTTCCTTCCAACCTGGGGGATATCCCACCAACTCATGCCAAAGCACAGCCTCCAAAAGGCTCTCCCCCATAACACCCCTTCCCAGCAACACAGCTGCAAGTACCGGGCATTTTTCCCAAGGTTTTCCTAAAGTTAAACATTCCCATGGGCACAGAGCTCTGCCCTTCTACTGGCAACACACTCTGGGCCCCATATTCCCCCCAGCAGGTAATGGCCACCCAGCTGGTTCACCAATCCCAAGTCAGTGGGAGCAGACCCAGCTATGCCACAGTGAAGCACAAACCCCCAGTCCCAAGCCTCCACATGCATGGGATGCTCTGTTTTGCAGCCATCCACCTCCATTCCACATCTGTTGCCAAAACACTCGGTCTTCAGAGCAGTGGGATCTGCAGGAATGGGAAAATCCCAGCCCCCATAGGCCACGTTGGGGGCCAAAGCTCTCCTGGTGCCACCTTCCTGTGCTGGCAGCAGTAGCACTGCACAGAGCAGTGGCAGTCCAGCGTGCCCACAGAGGTGAAGTTGCAGCCCACGGCCACCATGGCCAACATGGTGGCATGAATGGGGAGCACTGGCCCTGTGGGAAGAGGCAGGGGAGAGGATAAGAGGCACAGGGGACACCCACACCTCCAATGGGCACCCTGCATTCATCTGAGTCCCTCTGGCTGCCACACAGCACCAGGGCCATGGAGCAGTGTTGAGAGGCTGTAGGGGTCTGTGGGACGGTGGGCAGCATTGAGAGTAGCTTCAGGCAGAAGCTGGCTTTCCCCTGCAGCCCTGCAAGGAGACACCATCTATTCATCCCTCCATCCCCACAACCCCAGCCCTTAACCACACAGCTGTCCCACTGGCGCCAGGCGCTGCAGCCCCCCAGGGAGTGCTGCAGCAGGAGCAGTCAACATCATCTGCAGAAAGCCATGTAGTGCTCACATGGAGATATTAGCAGGCCCCACTGCCAGCAGTCCCCACCGCTTGTAGGAGACAGCAGAGGAAGACCTACAGGGACAGAAATCCTGCTAAAAGTGCTCCCTGGAGACACCAAAGTCTTCGTGCCTCCATACACACCTGGCTGTGGGGCTGCCCTGCTCCAGCTCCAATCCCCGTTTCCCCCCTGTCCCCATCCCCACCCGAACCCCATTGGTGATGAAGCAGGAGAAGAGTCCCTTGCTCTGCCTGTGATCTGTGGCATCCAGGTGGAAGAAATCACCATTGTGCCATTCCCTATGCCAACAATACTGCAGCACAGGCCAGACCCCTGCCTAGAAACACACAGCACCCAGGAGGGCATGGTGACACCACTGCATCCTTAGCAATTCCCTGATGACACAGGACTGAGTCCCAACTTCCAGAGAGTGATCAGCACGATCCAGAGAGGGACATCTCAGGGCTGCTTTGCAGGCAGAGGGGCGATGCGTGGGCACAGACCATGAGAACAGTGCCAGGCACCAGATTTGTTGGTCAGGTCCTGGCCCCGTTCCGCTGGTCCCAGTGCCAAGGGAAAGGGCCACTCCCCTGCTGTACCACAGCCCCATTGGTCAGCGAGCACCGCCCCAGGCAGATAAGCCCCCAGGAGCAGAAGGTCAGTGCAGCACTGCTGGAGGCAGTTGAGAGCATAGAGGATACGGCATCAGAGGGGCACTGCTGGCACTGAGGTTCTGAGGATGCTTGGCGTGGCTCTCAGCGTTGTGGTGCTTCTGGCACTCGCAGGTTGTGGGGCAGAAGACATGGTCCCCCAGGACTGCAGTGAGTAACGTGGGGATGTTGGGGAGGAGAATGGGTGCAAAATCCAGCAGGGGACACACGGGGTGCCCAGCAGTCCCGGCCCACTCCCTCTTACCACAGTCGTCAACGCTGAGGAGCGTGCCCGCATGCTGGGGATACTGCATCTCTCAGCTATGGACAGCGGGCTGCCCAACCCCAGTGTGCTGCTGGCCCTCAACCTGGCTGGGGACAGCAGCAAGGCCAAGCAGGAGTTGCTCGAGCGGATCAAGAAGACAGCAGTGAAGCAAGCAAAAGGTAGGAGGGTGCCTCGGGGGCATCCCAGAACCCTGTGGCAGCAGTGCTTTGGGTTGGCTGTCCCATAGTCTGGTGACAGTGGGTTTGGGTCCCAGTTCCTGTTTGCCCCAGCCACTCTCTGTCCCCACAGACATGTCCTCGGGCCAGGTGGCTTTGTACGCGCTGGCCCTGCTGTCCTCCTGCTGTGACCTGAGACATATAGAGGCACATGGGCAGAGTGTTGACCTGCTCAGCATCCTTCAGGAGAAGATGGACGAGGAGGTGGCACACTGGGGTATGGGGCTCAGAGTGGCACACGGCAACACAGGGATGCTGCTTTGGCCTGTGCTGGCTGATAGAACCCTGTACTTCCACAGAGGAGGAGGGCATCCCGCTGAGCACACTGTTCAGTATGGGGCTGGATGCACAAGCACTGTGTGTGACGGGAGCAGGTGGTTACCAGAGGGCTGCCACCATCCTGATCAAGCAGCTGCGGAGTTCCCAGAACAAGCTCTCTGTGGGTAAGAGTCCCCCCACTCCAACACCACACTCCAGCTGGCTCTGTCCATGCCAAGCAGGCTGTGACAGTGTTACTATGCAGACGAGCAGGCCATGATGGCGCTGCCACTGGTGTGTGCCTGGAATGAGAACCAGGATATGCGGGACCTGCTGAACACAACGCTGTCAAACGTGACCAACGAATTCCTTGAAAAACAGAATAAGGGAAATGGCTTAATTGGGAACATCTACAGCACAGGTTTGGCCATGCAGCTGCTGCTGGCTGCGGGCAAGTTCTATGCCCCACAGAAGTGGGACTGCACCCAGCCTGTGGCTGCCATCACCAGACACCACCTGGAGCAGCCCATGGCCATTGCTCAGGCACTGCCAGCCCTGGTGGGCAGAACCTACCTGGATTCTGCCAGCCTGGACTGCAGCCCTGAAGCACGCACAACCACTGGCCTGCAGCTGGATCCAACTCCGAGCCACGGCACGACAACTAAGGAAGGTATTGGCTGCCTCCAGCCCCACGGGGCCACCACCCTGCTCTCTTTATAGTTTGTAATGGATTACTCCAATTGGGTATGCACCTTATGGAGCTGGAAGAGTCCAGACTGGGAGGGTGTGGTTGCTGTCACATTATACTCTCATGTCCATGCTGATGGATGTGGGTTTTGGTATGTCATTAGCCCTTAATGAGACTAAAGGTCCCTTGCAGGAAACATTACCTTCCCATTTTGTTGACACCAGCCATTGCCACACACTTGACCTACCTCTGGTCACACTGTCACATTTCCACTTGTTCTTTGCATATTTGCCATCATTTATTTCTGCTTACTTCCTTGTTGGACAACAATTTCCCCTTTGAGACAACGAACTCACAGCTCCTGAACTATTTTCTCAGTGAGATCCAACATCACAGTGGAGTACACCATCACCAACAACTTGAGTGGACAGTTCTTCACCTATACCACCAGGGTGGATGTCCCAGATGGCTCCGTGCTCCTGGTCGTGCTGGAGCAGGCAGAGAAGTCCAACAAAACTATCTTTAGGTGAGTAGTGGGGGGCATAACAGGGTCAGTGTCACCACCTGGGCCCCAACCCACTGCTCGTCAGACCCCAGTCCCACCACCCATCTGCCCTACAGCTTCAAGACAGAATCAACATTCTGGGGCCCAATGGTGGTGTCCATCCACGGGCTGGCTGCCAGTGAGACTGACAGGACCTACTGGCAGTTCTTCAGTGGCAGTGACTCACTGCAGGAAGGTGGGCAGTGCTGGGGGGCTGGCAGGGGCTGTGGTGGGGAGCCACATCCTCACGCCCGTTCCCCACTGCAGGGGTTGGCACATACAAGCCGTACGACGGGGAGCACATCCAGGCTGTCTTCAGCACCTACTGATGGTACCGGAGGAGAAGCAGCCCTGCTGGGCACTACAACGTGGCAATAAAGAGTTGTTTGCAGCATGTCCTTCCTTGTGTGCTCCCACAGCCCCCTGACCAACACAACCACGCTGTGGTTCTGTGATCTCTGAGGTCTGCTCCAAACCAACCACTCTGTGGTTCTGTGATCTTCGAGGTCCCTCCCAACACAACCGTTCTGCTGTTATGTGGTCCTTGTGGGTCCCTCCCAAGCTGCGACATTTCGTGGTTCCATGTTCCTACGTACGGTCTGGGAGCGGCCGGGGAAGCACGGGGTGAAGGAGGTCGGGCTGAGGGTTCTGTCCGGCAGAGAGCCGGAACCCGCATTCCCTTCCCCTCAGCCGAGGGGGAAAAGGAACTGTGCGACCGGAAGTGCTCCCCGCCGAGCGGCTGATGGAACGGACCCGATGGCGGCGCCCGGCGGGCACTTCCGGCCATGGGGTGGTGGCGGCTGGGGCGGCCCGTGGCGGCCTGCGGAGGTCGGGGGGGCCCGGGAGGGACCGGAGGGGGACTCTGGGGTAGGCAGGAGGGGTCTGTAGGGCGGGGGAGGGGGCGAGGTGTGCAGGGGGTGCCCGGGGAGACCTTCCTGGCGCCCCCGGCCCGGCTCGGTCCTGAGCGCTCATTGTGTCCTTAGGCCTCGGCGGCAGCGCCGTCCCCCGGGCAGGCCTTAAGAAGTTCGTGCTGCCCCCTGACTACAGCGGTAAGTGCGGGACCCCGTGTCTGGCGGCGGTGCCTGAAGGAGTTGTCTGTTCCCTCCCCCACCCGTCCCCACGGTGGTCCTCACGTTTCCCCTCCCTGCAGGCATCACGCTCCCGGAGAGGCCGAAGCTGAAATTCATGGAGAAGATGCCGGCAGTGCCGAAGGTCAGACGGGAACCACGGCAGCTGCGGGACATCCGCGGGCCTTCCCGCGTGGCCACCGACTTCACGCAGGGGCAGTACGGCATCCTGGTGAGCACTGGGCTGTGGTGGGTTGCACCAGGCTTGGAGCACCTCCGGTGCCCAGCAGTCAGCCCTTGCCATCGTCCCACAGGCACTGGGGGGTGGCTACCTGCACTGGGGGCACCTGGAGATGATCCGCTTGACCATCGGGCGCTACATGGACCCCAAGAACATGTTTGCCATCTGGCGCGTGCCAGCCCCCTACAAACCACTGACAAAGAAGAGCCTTGGACACCGCATGGGGGGTGGCAAAGGCCCCATCGACCGCTATGTGACTGCAGTGAAGAGCGGACAGCTCGTGGTGGAGCTCGGTGGGCGCTGCGAGTTTGAGGAGGTGAAACCCTTCCTCACACAAGTGGCCCACAAGCTGCCCTTCCTTGCTGTTGCTGTCAGCCGGCAGAGCCTGCAGCAGATGCGGGAAGAGGAGGAGGAGAAGAGGCGCAACAACCAGAACCCCTGGACCTTTGAGCGTGTCATCACTGCCAACATGCTGGGCATGCGAAAGTACCTCAGCCCCTACGACCTGAAGCTGAAGGGACGCTACTGGGGGAAATTCTTCCTCAAGCACAGGGTGTAGCCCACAGGCAGGGATGGAGTCACCGGAATAAAGCCTTCTGTGAAAGTATGGAATCATAGAATCTTTGGTGTTGGAAAAGACCTCTAAAATCATTGAGTCCATCTGTCCGCTTACAACCAAGAAACGTTTAGATGTGGCACTGGGGGACCTGCTTGAGTGGGGAAATATTGGTGTATGGGCTCAATGATCTTGGAGTTTTCTTCCAGCCTTGGTGATTCTGTGATTCAGTATCGCCCACTACGTCATGATCCCTCATGCCACATATCTACGTTTCTTCAGCACCTCCAGGGGTGGTGACTCCACCACCCCCTGCGCATCCCGTTCCAATGTCTGACCATTCTTTTAGAGAAGAGGTTTTTCCTAATATTTAGCCTGAACCTCCCCTGGCACAGTTTGAGGTCATTACCTCTCATCCTTTCACTCCTTACATGGGAGAAGAGACCAACTTTACCTCATTTCAGGGAGTGGCAGAGAACAATAATACTTTCCCTCGGCTTCCTCTTCTCCAGACTGAACAATCCCAGCTCCCTCAGCCACTCCCCATAAGACTTGTGCTTCAGACCCCTCGCCAGCTTCATTACCTTTCTTTGGGTGTGATTACTGTGGGTTGTGGAGGCTCAGATGTGGGGATGGGACGCGGAGGTGGGTGATACAACTCGCTGACACAGCACCATGGGGCAGAGTGTGAGTCATCTCTTTATTGGGGAGGAGGTCTGTGGTGCGGGTGTCGGCACATCTGGACAGCAGCTCTGTGGAAGAATGGCTGCACGCGAGCTCTGAGTGAGGGGTGAGCTGCTTTCACCACCAGGCAAGGCAGAGCCCTGGCTGTGGCTGGCTCTCTGCTGGTGAGGAGGGAGCTGTGGGACCCTGGTGTGAGGACAGTGGGTGAGGAGGGACCTCGGGGTGACGTCCTCAAGGCTTGGCAGGTGGGTCCCAGGGCCACGGGCAGGATCACCAAACAGGATGGGGAAAGGCCACCTGTAAGCAGGAAGCATCAGAGGTGGCTGGCACTGCTACCCCCATCTGTCAGTGCAGAGTGAGTGCTGCTGGCCCAAACCCCATGGGCACCCCATCACCTGTGGGGAGTGGCTGAGGTGTCAGGCAAAGATGCTACCGATGCTGGAAGCCAAGATGATGACAAGGATAATGCAGCAAATCATGATCATGATCTTCTTCTGCACGGGAGAGAGGGGCTGTGAGGCTGGGACGTGGGCAGTGCGGGGAAGGGGGACAGGGGACAAGAAGACAGAGGTTCAGGGGGCGACTCAGAGCAATGAGGGATCCTGTTGGTCCCTCTCACCCTCCTGGCTTCGCTTTGGTACTTGACGGCCTTTTTGGTGTCAGCCACAGCTCGCTCCACGAAGCCGACAGACTGGTCCATGTTGTTCTCTATGCGGTCGATCATGGCTCCCTATAAGGGCAACAAGGAGAGACAAAGGGCACAGCACGACTCCTCGCATTGCATGGGGCACTGGGGGTGCTCAGAGGGGATGGGGAGGAGACCCTTCCCAGGGGTTCGGTGCCGTGGCTCTGTGGTGCTCCATGGCCAGGTCCCAGCCCCTGGGGTCCCTCCTTGTTCCCTTGCTGTCCCATGCATGAGTCCCTGTCTATCTCCGTCCTGTCCCTACTTGTCCCTATGCTGTCCTATGTCCAGACCCCCGTTTGTCCCCTCCCATTCCCCTGCCTCAGTCCCTCTGTCTCCCCTGCCCCATGCTGGCTCGCTGCTCGCCCCGCAGCCATGCCTGGTTCTCCACTAGCATGGCGATGTCGACAAACATGTCGTGCAGCTCCTTGATGCTGCTCTCCAGCCGCACGATGTCCTTGTGCCGCCCCTCGATTTCACTCAGTGCCTGCTTTGAGATCTGCGAGTCCATGATCTGCAGGGGGGACAAGACAAGAGGCGTCAATGGGGCAGCTCCAGACCCCCAACCCTGGCCCTATGGGGCTCACCCCTGAGGTGAAGATGGCGGGGTTCCCACTCTCCAGCATCTCCTCCAGCTCCTCGTCCGTCGTGTTCTTGCCAGCTGTGGGGAGTCAGTGCTGCCACAGGCTCTGCCCATCCCACTGAATGAGTGGGGCATAATGTGGGGAAGGAGACACGCACTGATCTCTAGCTGCCGCTGGATCCGGCCTTTGCTGCGCTCTCGGAAGTCAACCTGCGCCTCGTTGTACTTGGTCATCACATCAACGAACTTGCGGGACAGGACTGAGTGCTGGGGATGGGAACACCCTGAGCATGGTGTAGCTCAGCCTCAGGGGCTGGACTGAGTGCTGGATTTGGGTATGGGGACAGTGAGAAGTGGACATTGGATGGGACGTCCCAGGCATGGCATGTTCCAGCTTCCAGAACCAAGCACTGGGGATATGAACATTGGGCTGGGGTCACCCGAGGCGTGGTGTGTCCCAGTCCTAGAGGACAGGACTGAGTGCAGGGGACAGGGATATTGGGATGGGGTTACCCTGATGTGTCCCACCACAGGATACATGACTGAGTGTGGAGGACAGGGACAGAGATGTTGGGATGGTGACATTGGGTTGGAAACACTGAGTATGGCACGTTCTAGCTCCTGGTATTATGATCAAGCGCTGGAGTTATGTATGAGAGACACTGGGATATGAACACCCCAGTGTCCCTGCCCCGGGGGACAGGATTGAGTGCTGGGAATGGGGACATTCTGATGTGCCTGACCACAGGATACATGACTGAGTGCTGATGACAGAGACAGAGACATTGGGATGGCAACATTGGAAAGCAGGTATCTCAGGCATGGCATGTTCCAGCTCCCAGGGATAGGGCCGAGAACTGGGGATGGGGATACAGGGATGGGGACATTGGGATGATGATAACCTGAGCATGCTGTGTTCCAGCCCTTGGGGTTAGGATCAACCGCTGGGGTTGGGGATGGGGAGATTGGGCTGGAGACACTTCAGGCATGGTGAGCCCCAGCTCTATAGGGTAGAACTGAGTGCTGAGGATGGGGACACTGGGACAGGGACATTGGGATGGGAACACTACAGGCGTGGCATGTCCCAAACCGTGAGGACAGGACCAAGTGCTGGAGTTGTGGATGGGGAACTCCCAAGCACGGTGTGTCCCACATCAGGGTACATGACTGAGCGCTAAGGACGGTGACAGGGATATGGGAACAGGGACATCATAGATAAAGCATGCCTTAGCCCCAGGGGACAAGCCCGAGTGTGGGAGCAGCCGTGATGCATTCCACCCCCAGGAGGGGATGGCAGGGTGCAGTCACCTCACCTGGGACTTGCGTATGCGCAGGTCGGCAGAGGAGCGGGCCTCATCCTGCTCAATGTTCCTCTCCATGCCTACCAGCAGTGAAAACCCCACCTGTCAGGTGCATTTCCCCCCCCACCACGGTGACCCCAGGGCTGGGGACGCAGCCACTCACTCTTCAGCTTGTTGCGCACGCTGTTGGCCATCTTCTTGATGTCAGCTGTGAGCTGCTCCAATTCATCTTTGGTCTCTGCAGGGGATGGGATACTGAGACAGGGATGCCATCGCAGGTGTGTGTCCAAGGAGGGGACGTATGGCCCTGATGGGGGTAGAGGGGGGGACGACACACAGCCATGCTCACTCTGTTCAGGGATGGGGGCTGAGAGGATGACACTGTAGAGCTTCTTGGCTTCCTCCACGTTCTCTGAAATCTTGTCGATGTTCTGCCTGGTCTCCTCAATCTGGAGGGGCCATGAGGACATGTCACCTGTGTCCCCCACGTGCCCCACATCCCCTGTGTCCACCTGCTCCACACCTCAGCGAAGAATTCGTCCATGAAGGCTGTGTTGTCGATGGCGATTTCCATCTCATCGGTGTCATCATCAGCATCCTGCTTCTGCGGGAAGTAGTGAGGGGATGCTCAGGGGACACCTGGGGACAGCCAGTGGGTGTGGGACGAGGACAGGGAGGGAACGCAGTGGCCCCCAAGCAGCGAGGGGGGGGTCCAGCTGGCTGCCATCTGCTCACATCTGACAAGCAGGAATTAACGGATTGCAGGGCTGGGCCGTGGGAGGAGCAGGGACAAGGGATGGGGCACTCCATTATGGGGCTTTGTGGCCCCAAACTTCACCCCACAGCAGCTCCGCATGAGCTCCCCTCTGCCCCACAGCCACCCTTGCCATTACCACGGTGTCGTGCCCCGGCCCCCTATTTCTGGAGTAAAAATAATGCTTAATCCCCTGCTCCCCCCGCAGGGCCTGATCATGGGCAGCGCCTCCCTTAATCCCTGCTAAATCCCCCACAGGGCAGCATGGAGGCTGCAGGGCTGCGCAGCGTGGGGAGCACCCCAAGAACCCAAAAGCAGGGCATGGGGGCCCTGCGTGTGTTCCGCACCCCTTCCTGCACGCCACAGTGAGGATGCAGCCACCCCAAATCCTCCCAGGGCTAAGACCCGTGGTCCCCTCCAGCAGTAGGGCACGACCTATCCCTGGATGACGTATCCCTGGATGACCCCACGTGTGCCCCCCATGGTGCCCTGCACCCCTCACCGCCCGGAGTTGCTCCAGCCGGTCCCGCATGGTGCTGGGCTGCCAGGACTCGCCGCCCGCCTGCTGCCGTCCTACATCAGCCCCGCTAATCCCCACTGATGGGCACTCAGTGAGAGCAAGGCTGAGGCGGGGCTGCCGCACCCGCCACGTGTGCTCCAGACACCCGAAGGGGGGGGGGCGGTGGCGAAGGTGCCAGTGACACGAGTGTCTCCACAGCTTACGGGTGACCCTAGCACCAGATGGGGGACAGGAGGTGGTGGTGGACAGGTGGACACGGCCATGGATAGGGGATATGAGTGGTGGGATATGGGTTGGAGGGCAGGGCCACGGATGGGGGATAGGGGTGTTGGGATATGAAATGGGGACGTGGCCACGGGTGGTGGGATGCAAGTTGGGGATGTGGCTAAGGGTAGGGGACGTGATTTGGGGGACAGAGCCACGGATGGGAGGAACAAATGGTGGGACACAGGTTGGAGATGTGGCTAACAGGGGACACGGACTGGGGTTGTGGCCATGGCTAGGGGACACGAGGCAGACTTGGCCATAGTTAGGGCACACGGTTGAGGGGCGTGGGCTGGGGGACGTGTCCACGGGCAGGGGACTCGGGTGGTGGGACACAGGTTGGGGGTCGCGACTAGAGGGAAACACCCAAGGGACTCAGCGGAGGACCGAGACACGGCTGACGTGGGGGGGGCACGGCTGGGACAACAGCGCGGGGCTGGGGCAGGACGGGGCACAAGGGCCCGGAGGCAGGCAGAAAAAGGCCGCCCGCCCCTTTAAGAGCCGCCCGCAGTGGGCGCGGCGCACCTAAAGCCTCCGAGTGGGCGGTGCTCCCCCTTTGCGCATGCGCATCCCAATGACGGGCGGAAAGGGTGACGTCATGCGCGTGCGCCCGCGGCGGCGCATGCTCGGCGGGGCCGGAGCGGGCCGCGCGGAGCCTGCGGGCGGGGGGCGCCGCCGCCGCCGCCGCCGCCGCCACTACTACCGCCATGTTCCGGTACCCGGTGAGTGGGGGGCGGGGTCGGGCGGCAGGGATCGGGGCTGGGGTTCGAGCTCGGGCCTCGGAGTTGGGTTTGGGGCCGTGGCTGCGGGCTCAGAGCTGAGGCCGGGGCCGTGGGGCCGTGGGTTGTGGCTGTAGGTTCAAGGCCCAGGGTCAGCTCTGAGGGCTGAGGGTTGGGGCCCGTAGCTTGGGGCCAGGGCTCCGGGCTCGGGACTGGGGCTGTAGGGCAGGGCTGGGCCTTGGGCTTGACGGCGGTGCCGGTGGTGGTACAAACGTGCTGTCTGCCACCGCAGTCCCTGGAGGAGTGCCCGCTGGATGAGGAGGAAGACGGCTTCCAGGCACTGGGCGAGGAGGATGAGGACATCGATCAGTTCAACGATGACACCTTTGGAGCCGGGGCTGTCGGTGAGCTTTTGGTCCCTATCTCTTGCCCACACCACCTGCCCGGTGCCTGGTGCCCTCTGCTGCCACGCTCACCCCACCGTTCCCATGCAGATGATGACTGGCAGGAGGCCCACGAGCGGTTGGCTGAGCTGGAGGAGAAACCCATAGGCTCTGGGCAGCAGGCCGCGCCGAGCAGTGAAGATGCAGAGTTGCTGGGTGAACCTGAGGATGCACTGGCAGAGCGGCTGACGCGGCTCGTGATTGAGAGTGAGCTGGAGGACCCTGCCATCATGCGAGCCGTGCACACCCGTGGGCCTGGTGTACAGGCCATGGCACTCAACACCAGCATCTGGGATGGCCCTTCTGTGCTGCAGCGCATCCGCACACCACTGATCACCCAGGTTTGGGCATAATTTGCTGTCGGCACTTGACAAAGGGCTGCAGGAATGGGGAAGGAAGTGTTAGGAAAAGGTTCTTCACCAGAGGGTTGTAGGCGTAGAGCAGGCTTCCCAGAGAAGCAGGCACTGCCCCACACTACCAGAGCTTGAGGAGTGTTGGGGCAGTGCTCTCAGACGTAGGTTTGGGTTTTGGGTGTTCCAATGTGGGGCCAGGGGTTGGACTCAGTGGTCCCTATGGGACCCTCCCAACTTGGGATATTCTGTGGCTGTTGGGTGAGCTATTGGACATCACTTCTTGACCCTGCATGTGCTCTCTCTGGGCTGGGTGATGCCACGCAATCCCTGGTGGTGTCAGCACTCAGGATTTGGGATCGTCAGTGCCTCGAGGCATAACTGTTTTCATTGCTGGGTGACAGAGAGTCAAGCTTAATTAACAGTCAGACGCAGGATCCTTGGGGCTCCCTGAGAATCCTGGCTGGGGTGTGGGGATCTCCAGCACTGAGAAAGCACGACCCAGCAGCTCCTCTGCACTGTACCATGTCAGTGTCAATGTCCTTGCCACCATGTCCAGCCCTGAGACTTCTTTCCAGGGCTTTTCTCCCCACTTCCACTTGCAGGAGATGCCATCAGTGTCCGTGCTGGACTATGCTCTGCCCCAGAGACCCCTGCAGGCTCAGGAGGAGGAGCGGGACCCCTCGGAGCGGGCACTGCCACGTCGCTCATCCTCCCCCATCATTGGGAGCCCCCCTGTACGAGCAGTCCCCATCGGTACCCCTCCCAAGCAGGCTGCTATGCCCAATTTTAACCAGCAGGTATGGCCCCCAGCTCCCTGCAGCAAGTGCACGCCCCTTGGCGAGGAGCCAGCGGTCAGACCCCCACTGCGTTCCTTCTTTCAGATCCTGTGTCCAAAGCCTGTCCACATCAGGGCTACCATGCAGCAGCGCTACTCTGCTCCCTACAGCGAGAGGATGTCCCCCAACCAGCTCTGCAACGTACCAGTACTCAATGCTCCCACCCCCGAGCCCCTCTGATACCCCGACTGCATCATCATCCCACCTGGGAGAACCATGACCGGGGGCTCTGCTCCTTTATTTTCTCGCAGAACTCTTCATTGCTGGGCCACCCATTCCCCACCAGTGTCTCTCCCGTTTTCACCCACCTGCAGCGGGCGCAGCTGCTGGGAGGAGCGCAGGTAAAGCCCTGGACTCTGTGCTCCCCCAGCCCCATAGGGGTGAGGGTCCAGCATTCTGATAGATCCTGCCTGACCCATGCTCCCTCTGCCCCACAGGCTGGCCGAATTTCCCCCAGCCAGTTTGCTCGAGTCTCAGGCCTCGTTGGGAGCCCACTGCCCTCCGTCAATCCCAAGCTGTTGCAGGGCAGAGTGGGGCAGATGATGGCTCCTACTGGCGGCTTTCGTGCCTTCTTTGGGGCTGGCCCCGCTCCGCCCTCACAACCGCAGCCTCCGCCAGGCCCCGTGCCTCACCTGCAGGGCCTGAGGTAGGCACTGATCCCCTCGAGGTCGTGCGCCTGCCGTACAGCCCTGTAATCCCATGTGCTCCCCACAGGCCACAGCCCTTCCGACCGGACACCACCCACCTGCACCCCCAGCATCGCCGGCTCCTGCACCAGCGGCAGCAGCAGAACCGAAAGTGAGCACCGGGCGGGAGGGAGCGTGAGGAGGTGGGCGGTGCCCCGGTGCCGGGTGTTCTGGGGGGCCTGTGCAGCCGGGGCTAGCCTGTGCACCACTCTCTGTCCCTTCCTGTAGCTCCTGTGTGCTCATGGGTGCCCTTCTTGCCTTCTGCCAGCCAGCACCGTGGCCTCAACGGCTCGGTGGGGGAACGAGGGGGCCACCGTGGCAGCCACCAGGAGCAGGCACGCAAGGACCCCTACGCAAACCTCATGCTGCAGCGGGAGAAGGACTGGGTGTCCAAGATCCAGATGATGCAGCTGCAGAGCACCGATCCCTACTTGGATGACTACTACTACCAGGTACTGGGAGAGGGGCAGGGATGGGGCCAGCAGAAGGGAAGAGCTGTCACTCTCTGCCTTTAGAAAGGGAGGGCATCAGAGAAGATGTCACTGTCTTTGCACGTACTGGGAAGGAGTGTTGTGAAGCACTGCTGCATGAAGGAGAAGCAGTGGGGAAAGGGCTTTGCTCACGGGATACTGACCTTTCCTGTCCCTGTCCCAGAACTACTTCCAGAAGCTGGAGAAGCTGTCAGCAGCTGAGGAAGACGGTCCCAAGAAGGAGCGTACGAAACTCATCACCCCTCAGGTGGCAAAGCTGGAGCACACCTACAAGCCAGGTTAGCGCTTCCTTCCCCAGGTCTGTGGACAGGGAGAGCAGTCCTGCCCTGGGGGCTGGCTCCCTGCATCCCCTGCCCCATCCTGCAGTGCAGTTCGAGGGCTCGCTCGGGAAGCTGACGGTCTCCAGTGTGAATAACCCCCGGAAGATGATTGATGCAGTGGTGACCTCCCGTGGAGAGGATGACGTGAGTGCTGCCCCTTCCTCCCAGCCCCATGACCTGCACCTGCACCCTGACCTCCTCTCTCCCCTGGGCAGGAGACAAAGGAGAAGCAGGTCCGGGACAAGCGGCGCCAGACACTCGTCACCATTGAGAAGGTGAGTGCTGTGTCCCCACTCTGTACGGGGCACGGCCCGTGGGTCCCCTGGCTGTGGGTCTCTGCCCTGTGTGATGGCCAACTGTCCTGCAGACGTACAGCCTCCTCCTGGATGTGGAGGACTACGAGAGACGCTACCTCCTGAGCTTGGAGGGCGAGCGGCCCGCCCTGATAGGTGAGAGGAAGCAGAAGATCTGCAACATGTATGACAATCTGCGTGGGAAAGCACCGGGGCAGGAAAGGTGAGCGGGGAGGTGCTGGAGGCTGAAATAACTTCACTTTTGCACCTTGATGTCTCTGTGGGGTGCAACTTCTATCACTGTGCTGGCTGAGTCATTTCCTTCACAGACCGAGCGACGACCACTTCATGCAGATCATGTGCATCCGGAAAGGAAAGCGCCTGGTGGCTCGCATCCTCCCCTTCCTGTCCCCTGAGCAAGCGGCCGACGTGCTGTTGGCGACTGCCCGGAACCTGCCCTTCCTCATCAAGAAGGATGCTCAGGATGAGGTGACTCCTGCAGCTCAGAGCATTCCTCCCATGCCCCACAGTGCAGGCCCCCACCTCTCCCCTTGGGAGAATGGGGATGGTTATGGGGCAACCCTGCATCCCAGCTCTCTGCGCTCCCCACAGGTGCTGCCCTGCCTGCTGCGGCCCTTTTCACACGTCCTCTACCACCTCCCCCTGGGGACAGTCACCAGCCTGGTGCAGCAGCTCACCAACCTACCTCAGAGTGCTGCCGCACCCGCCTCCACCAACCTGCACCTCACCACAGTGCTCCAAAACAAGGTGGGCGCCCGTGGGGCTGGCATTGCTCCTTTGCATCCCCGCGGGTTCCCAACACCTCGTCTCCGTCCCCGCAGTTCGGCCTGTCCCTGCTGTACCTGGTTCTGAGCCGTGGGGAGGAGCTGCAGAGCACGGACGGCGGCACGGAGCTGATGCAGGACAACCAGTGGTGAGAGATGGGGCGGCGGGGCTTTGCCATCTGGGAGGGGAAGAGCCAGCGCTGTCCCCATGCCCGCTGACACACCTTCTGTCCACAGGACGGAGCTGATGCTGCTGGCCACCCAAGAGCTGCTGCGTGTACCGCCCGCTGCCCTGCCCAAACCGGTGCCCCCCCCTTCCAACCTGCTCTCTTTCTTCTCCCGCTACGTCGACCAACAGAAGCTCAACCTACTGCAGACCAAGCTGCAGTGATGCTGTGCTCAGCCCCCCCACAGCCCGGTAGGACAGCGGCGCCGGGGCAGGCGCAGATCTGGTCGTTCCGTGGCTGAGTCCCGGTGCCCAGTGGCGGTCCTCAGTCCTACCACCGCGTCTCAGCGCCGGTGCCCCCAGCCGCCATCCCAGCACCTGGGGCTACTTCTGCTGCTGGGTTCTGGCATCTTCTTCCAGTTCCAGCCCCCCCCATGCTGTTTGCACACCCCCTGCCGCCTCACCCCGACCCCACCGCAGTTGCAGTTCACACACACACACACAGACACACACACAGACACACACACACACACACACCCGTAGACCCACACCATCCCTTGGAGATTCCTTATTATTATATATATATATTTTATTTTAATTTTTTTTTTTTGTGCTTTTTTTTTTTTTTTTCTTTTTCGGTTTTGCCCGGTTTTCGGCTCTGGATCAGGAGAATAAAGTTTCTAACTTTACATTTTTATAGGATGTAAATAAAGACGGATTCTGTACGGTCCCGCCTGGCCTCTGCTTGCCCCGCCCCCAGGAGCGTGCCGGCCGTGGCCACGCCCCCCAGCGGTGACGTCAGGCCGACGTGGCCGCGCCGCGCCCTGGATAAAGGCCATAGGTTAGCGCCCCGTGGCAGCGCCCTCGAGGCCAATCAGCGTGCGCGCTGCGGGAGGTCTCGCCTTCCGGCCAATAGGCAGCGCGATGAGTCACTGCTTCTCCGTGTCAGCCCCGCGTGGCTCCCTTTCCCGCTTCCCATTGGCTAGGCGCGGCGACGGACGCGTCGTCGAGCCAACGGGAGCTCGGGACGAGGCTCGCGGCGTCAACCAACCGGAGGGCCGGCGCCGCGCCGCGCTCGCCTCTCCGCCAATCGGCGGCGCGGGGCGGGACGAGCGGCGCTCCGCTCGGCCAATGGGCGGCGGGGCGTGGCGGCTGACGGCGGCGGCCATGGCGGAGGTGCGTGGGGCGGGCGCGGGCCCCGGCGCGGCGCTGCCCGTGCCCATGGCGCTGCCCGCGGCGCCCGGCGCGGCCCCGACGCTGCCCTCCCCGGCGGCGGGAGGCGGAGGCGGTGGCGGCCAAGGGGCGGCTCCGGGCCCGGCGGCGGCGACGGCGGCGGGGAGCGGCGGGGCGGCGCGGGAGGGCTGGCTCTTCAAGTGGACCAACTACATCAAGGGCTACCAGCGGCGGTGGTTCGTGCTCAGCAACGGTCTGCTCAGCTACTACCGGTACGGAGCTCCGCCCCGCCCCGCCCCGCCCCGCCCCGCCCGCTCCGTAGGTGCGGGGGCCGCGGTCCCCGCCGCGCGTCCCACCCGCCGCCCCCGAGCCCCTCTGCGTTTCCCCCTCCGCTTCCCGGCGTTTTCCGCCGCCCCCTCTGGTGTCCCCGGTTCGCTCCCGCACCGCCTCGGTGCCCGCTCAGCGCCCTCCCGTTGCTTGACAGGTTCCCCACCGGCCCTCCCCGGTGCCTCCTGCCGACTCCTATTGCCCGTCAGTGCCGCCCTGTCGCACACTGGTGCCTTCTCAGTATCTCCTTGGCCCTCCCAATACGTCCGGCACCCTCCTGGTCCCTGCCGCTGCCCTCTCAATGTCTTCTGCTGCCCGGTTGCCCCCCCCCCCCAACCCCTCCCAGTTCCCCAGGTGCCCCTTGGTATCACCTGGTGTTCCCTTGGTGTCTGCTCGGTGCCCTCGGTGCCACACCACTGCCCCCGCTGCCTTCTCGGTTGCTCTCACTCCCCGCCCCCCCACGCCTCCTGCTGCCCACCAGTGCTCCTCAATGGCCCCTGGTACCCACCTGATCCCCCCGTGATCCCTTCACTTTGCCCAGGTGCCCCCTGATACCTCCCAGTGTTCTCTTGGTGCCTTTACAACAGTACCTGCCTACTGATCCCTTGGTTCTCCCTTCTGCTATCTGGCACGTTCCGGTGCCACTCGGTCCCTCCTGGTACCACCCTGGTGCACTCTTACTCCCTTCCCCTGCCCAGTTGCCTTACTGCTCCCTTGTACTGCTCCACTGTACCTTCAGTACTCACCCACTGCCTGCCCTGTGCCCCCTTTGGTCTTCCCTATGCTACCCAGTGCTCCCCAGTGACCCATAGCACCCTTTTGCTGTTCCCTGGTGCCTACCCGATCCCCTCTAGTTGCTCAGCTGTCTCCAGGTACTCCCTCAGTGCCCACCCTGTACCCTCCCTAGTGATCTCTGCTGCTCCTCAGTGCCACCCTGGTGCCCTCCCAGTGCTTCTCTGTCTCCCTTTCATTGCCTCCTTCCTTATTGGTTCCCTTTTGTTCCTGCTCGATGCTTGTTGCTGCCCCACATTTTCACCTGGTGGCTCCCTGTTGCCCACTGCTTCATTCCAATGCTCACTCGTGTGCTCTTGGTGTCCCCTAGTAACCACCCAGTCCCTATCTGGCACCCCCCAATCTCCCCCCAGTACTCCATTGGTGCCCCCGCAGTGCAGGGGGTGGCAGCTGGCTGTCCCCACAGCTCCAAGGCGGAGATGCGCCACACGTGCCGTGGCACCATCAACCTGGCCACAGCCAACATCACAGTGGAGGACTCGTGCAACTTCATTATCTCCAACGGCGGGGCGCAGACCTACCACCTGAAGGCCAGCTCTGAGGTGGAGCGGCAGCGCTGGGTCACGGCACTGGAGCTGGCCAAGGCCAAGGCTGTCAAGATGCTGGAGGAGTCAGGTAGTGCCTAAACATTGAACTGTAGAACCATAGAATGGCCTGGGCTGAAAAGGATCACAATGATCATCTAGTTCCAACCCCCCTGCTATGTGCTGCGTCGCCAAGCAGCAGACCAAGCTGCCCAGAGCCACATCCAGCCTGGCCTTGAATGCCTGCAGGGATGGGGCATCCACAGCCTCCTTGGGCAACCTGTTCCAGTGCCTCACCACCCTGAGTGAAAAACTTCCTCCTAATATCTAACCTCCCGTGTCTCAGTTTAAAACCATTCCCCCTTGCCCTATCACTATCCACCCTCATAAACAGCCGTTTCCCCTCCTGTTTACGTGCTCCCTTCAAGTACTGGAAGACCGCAATGAGGCCTTCCCAGAGCCTTTTCTTCTCCAAGCTAAACAAGCCCAGATCCCTTAACCTTTCCTCACAGGAGAGGTGATCCAGCCCTCTGATCATCTTACTGGCCCTCCTCTGGACGCGCTCCAAGATCTCCACGTTCTTCTCATACTGGGTGCCCCAGGCCTGGACACAGTACTCCAGATGGGGCCTCACAAGGGCCGAGTAGAGGGGGACGATCACCTCCCTCTCCCTGCTGGCCACCCTTTTTTTAATGCAGCCCAAAACACAGTTGGCCTTCCAGGCCATTGCTGCTACCTCCCTCCTTAACACCCCGTCTTGCCACCAGATGACTCCGGCGACGAGTCGGTGTCCCAGACCGACAAGACGGAGCTGCAGAGCACGCTGCGCACGCTGTCCAGCAAGGTGGAGGACCTGAGCACCTGCAACGACCTGATTGCCAAGCATGGCACGGCCTTGCAGCGCTCACTCAGTGAGCTGGAGAGCCTGCGCCTGCCGGCCGACAGCACCGAGAAGATCAAGCAGGTCAACGAACGCGCCACGCTCTTCCGCATCACCTCGAACGCCATGATCAATGTGAGTGACACCAGGGGACAGCCCCGCTCCGCTCCCTGCCACCATGGAGCTGATCCCATCCCACCTCCATGCAGGCATGCCGGGATTTCCTGCTGCTGGCCCAGACCCACAGCAAGAAGTGGCAGAAGTCGCTGCAGCATGAGCGGGATCAGCGCATCCGCCTGGAGGAGACGCTGGAGCAGCTGGCCAAGCAGCACAACCACCTGGAAAGGGCTTTCCGTGGTGCCACCGTTCTGCCCGCCAGTGCTGCTGGCAGTGGTGGCTCTGCCAAAGGTACCTGAGCACAGCCTGGGGCCGACTGGGGGAGCTGAGGGTACTGTGGGGCAGGAGGAGCAGGGAAGCCAAGAGTGCTGCTGGGCATCCTGGTACCACTGTCCCCCTGTCTTCTGTTCCACACCGTGCCCAAACTCTGCCCATCCACCACCCCACAGGGAGGCAGCAGGCACCCTTAAGAGTGCAGGCATACAGCCCCCTCTGTCCTTGTCACCTCCAGATCCCTGCTGCTCTGCAAAAGGAGACCTGAGTGATGAGGACGATGATAACGAGTTCTTTGATGCCCCGGAGATCATCACTGTGCCGGAGAGCATGGGCCACAAGTGAGTACAGGGGCTGCCCCCAGGGTGGACAGAGGCAGAGCTGGGCCTAATGCCAACCCCTGCCCCCCCCCAGGCGCACTGGCAGCAACATCAGCGGCACCAGCAGTGACATCAGCCTGGATGAGCAGGTAACAAGTGGTTCTCCACAGCTGAGCTAGATCTGAGGATGTGGGTGTGAGTGTGGGGGAGTCACAGTGATGCTTGTCTTACCCCCTCAGTATAAGCACCAGGTGGAGGACACCAAGAAGGAGAAGAGAACCCGCATTCCCTACAAGCCTAACTACAGCCTCAACCTTTGGAGCATCATGAAGAACTGCATTGGGAAGGAGCTGTCCAAGATCCCCATGCCGGTGAGCAGGGACACAGCCAGGGCCTGACAGGTGGGGGCTGCGTGCCCTGTTCCCTCCTTTGACCTTTCATTCCCCTCCAGGTGAACTTCAACGAGCCTCTGTCCATGCTGCAGCGTCTGACGGAGGACCTGGAGTACCACGAGCTGCTCGACCACGCGGCCAAATGTGAGAGCTCGCTGGAGCAGCTCTGCTACGTGGCTGCCTTCACTGTCTCCTCCTACTCCACCACCGTCTTCCGCACCAGCAAACCCTTCAATCCACTCCTGGGGGAGACTTTTGAGCTGGACCGCCTGGAGGAGAACGGTTACCGTTCCCTCTGTGAGCAGGTACCGCTGCCCCGCACCGCCAGCACCGGGGCCAAGTGCTGCAACTGGGCTGAGCGTCCTCTCTGTCCTCACAGGTGAGCCACCACCCGCCAGCTGCCGCACACCACGCTGACTCCAAGCATGGCTGGACGCTGCGCCAGGAGATCAAGATCACCAGCAAGTTCCGGGGGAAGTACCTCTCCATCATGCCTCTGGGTGAGCTGTGGGGGGCTGAGGGGCAGCTGGGGGCTGCGCCCTGTCCAGAAGGTGACGATCTGATGCTCCTCTCCCCTTTCAGGCACCATCCACTGCGTCTTCCATGCGTCTGGCAACCATTACACATGGAAAAAAGTCACCACCACCGTGCACAACATCATCGTGGGAAAGCTGTGGATCGACCAGGTGGGGCGCTGGGCTGACCCTCGTGCCTCAGTTTCCCTGCAGTGAGGGGAAGAGGTGCAGGGTGGAGCTGAGCGCATCTCTGCGGTTTCTTGTAGTCGGGTGAAATTGAAATTGTCAACCACAAGACGGGTGATAAGTGCAACCTCAAGTTTGTCCCCTACAGCTACTTCTCCCGGGACGTGGCTAGGAAGGTAGGGACTGGTGCGCCCTGTGGGGTGGCAGTGGGGGAGTGCATGGGTCACTGGGGGGTCTCTGTCCCATCAGGTCACGGGGGAGGTGATGGACCCTGCGGGGAAGGTGCACTTCCTCCTGCTGGGCACCTGGGACGAGAAGATGGACTGCTACAAGGTGGCAACGGGCAGCGGGGACAACGGGGCCGAGGGCCGGCAGCGGCTGCACGAAGCAGAGGAGAGCCGTGTGCCGCTGTGGAAGAGGAACCAATTGCCGTGAGTTGGTGGCATGGGGGGGGTGCAAGGATAGGGGCTGTGAGCCTCCCCAGAGAGGGGCTGAGCTCTGTGTGCGCGTGTAGGAAGTACGCAGAGAACATGTACTACTTCTCGGAGCTGGCACTGACGCTCAACGCGCCCGAAAGTGGCACGGCGCCCACCGACAGCCGCCGGCGCCCCGACCAGCGCCTGATGGAGAACGGCCGCTGGGACGAGGCCAACGCCGAGAAGCAGCGCCTGGAGGAGAAGCAGCGCCTGGCCCGCAAGCGTCGCGAGGCCGAGGCTGCCCGTGCAACCGAGGACGGTAAGGAGGGACTGGGGGACCCCAAGCCCCCCCTGTCCCCGCGGCGCTGAGCCCTGGCTGTGCCCGCAGGCACCCTGTATGATCCCTACAAGCCGCTGTGGTTCGAGCGCAAGAAGGACCCGGTCACCCAGGAGCTGGCGCACGTCTACCGGGGGGGTTACTGGGAGAGCAAGGAGAAGCAGGACTGGAGCGGATGCCCGGACATTTTCTGAACACACCGTGCTGTCGGCACCCACCCACCCACCGGGGTTGCCTTAGCCCATAGCCACACTGACCTTGATGCCCGGGTGGGGAGTGGGAGCCAAGCTGGCCCCCCCCCCCGACCCCGGGAGCTCCCCCCCTCTGCCCTCATACGTGCACTCCGCCCCGGTGCCCTGGAGCAGGAGCAGCTCCCAGGGAGCGCATCGGGGCGAGCCCGAGGCTGGCCTTGGTCTCTCCTTCCACTCCATTATTTTAGCCCTCTGTTGGGCATTCGGGTTCTGTCGGGGGCGGGGGGCTAGGCTCACTCGCCCCACAATGGTTATGATGTAGAGAGCTATGGGGGGGGGGGCACCCTCTCCATGCTCGCCCCAGTGCCCCCAGCACGGTGCCTTCCTCCTGTGGCATTTGGGGCAGTGGGGGCACCGCAGTGGGGCAGGGACCCCTCCTTCCTTCCCCCACACCTAAACACTACAGCAGCCTGAGGATGGTGGGGGGGGGACTCTGCGGGGCTGAGTGACCCCGTGGTGTGGGTGGGGAGGGGGGGACCTGGAGGCAGTGAGTGGGGGCATATGATGCCTTTTTTTTT